GTGGGCAGTGTGTTGGGGTTTTCCAGCCATTTTTTTTCCTTGCTGAGCCTCTGATAATTCACTTAACTCTTCGATTTCCTTTAATTTGCGGGGGAGTGGGGGTTTTGTTTGTTTTTTTGCAGAGGTGCAGGAGTTGTCCTTGGTGTGTTAGTCTTCTAGATGCATGTTTAGGTATTGGGGGGAATCTAGTTCCTTTTTGTTTTACAATTAATATTGCATTTTAATTATTGTTTTGTAATCTCTATGTATCGCAATCGGTGAGCTCCTGCTTTTCAGGGCTCTTATTTACAAGGTCATCATTAGAATAAATTAACCTGTGATGAGGGAACATCACACAGGTTGGCAGCTGATTGATATGGGTTCAACTCTTGTCTTCAGTTACACCTGCAGCTCCTGTTGAAGCCAGTGGCAGGAGTGTACATGTTGCTGAGAGCAAGGCCTGGCCCAGCGTATTTCCTTTCTAGGAACACAAAGGATCTAATAACAAATAAAACTCTAAAGCTGATCACACAAGTGTAATGGAGTGTTAGAAAGGAACCCACCATGCATTGATTTGTTGTATGTTGCGGTTTATCGTGTTGGAGCATTTTGTTCTTTATAGCACCTTTGCTTATGAGGAGTTTTGGTCTAAGTATAAAAATGTAAGTAAAATATGCTGTTCTCTTGCCAGTCTTACTCACATTAAAGATTTATGTTTGTGGCTTGGAGTGGTACTCTGGCTTTTGTATACTAGTCTAGTGTCTGCACTCTGCTGATGTTGCACTGACGTGGTCCCTTTTAATGGATCCCAAAGCCATTTACCTGTCCAGTAAGTTCTGCGAATTACTGGGTCACTGTCAATTTTGGAAAAATCATTGCATAATCACTCTAGAGCCCAGCACCAACAGCAATCCTGCTCCATGTCATGGGGAATGTGATGCCTCTTATGTATGCAAACCATTGCTGCTTTTATATTTAAATGTTTGGAAAATGGTAAGAGTGAAAACAAGCTGTTGCATAGGAAAAGGTGCAGCTTCCTTTATGGTGCATTTCCAAATGCTGAGCTACTGCCACCTCCTGGAGTGAGTGCTCAATGGGTAGAGACTCTGTTCATTGCAATTCAGGGCAAGTCATTATTGCATTGGCCAGAGCTGGCTCCTGTCTCTGTACCTACCTGTTGCTGTCACCCCATTCAAAAGGGCTGTTACTTTGCCTTTCTGCAGCATATGCTGGTCAGTATTATGTTGAATTTTCAGTGCCAATGTATTCACCAAGTGCACCATACTTTACCTATAAATAAAAGGAGGGAACTGTTGGCACTTCAGATGTTTTACTAAGCAAATGAAGTAATGCTGATACTTTTCCTTACTAACTAGCTTGGCATGTGTATATGGTATGACACCGTGGTTGAAATTAGCAAATCCGTGCAATACTGCAGCTTGTCAAATACACTGAGCAAGGAATTCTGCTAGAAACACTGAGGCGAGTGTCAATGCTATGACTTGCATACTGTTCTCCTGGCCAGTGTGTTTAGCTGCACTTCCACTTTTCTTCTCTTACCCTCTCAGCTCCGAGCATGTGGCTACTGCTGAGCGGGTTAAAACATAAGATACCAACCTAAATCTCCAGGTCACTACCAGCTCCCCCCATGATAGGTGGTTGAGGAATCCATCTTCAGCTGTGATTAATCTGGCCTGCCTTTAAGCTTTCGGGTACTATCTAGCATGGGACTAGAACTTTGAGACTTATTTCATCTTGTGTATGCCACGGCCCCTTTTGCAGATAGGGCATTTTAACTTAAGTTCTGTCTATGCACTTAGTTTGCAGCAAGCGGGGTGGGGTGCATATCTAACTTTCACTAGTCAGCCATACATTAATTGTCCCTGTGGACCCAGCAGCTGTGCACTTAGAGTTCCCTAGTGTGCTCTAATTTACTCCCATTCAAAGCAGTATATATTATAGTGACAATGGGACTTCTAGTGCAGGGTGACAGAGTCCATGCAGATAGTTGCTGCACAGCAGCCTAATGCAGGGTAGATTTACAACCCAGCTTGCCATGAACTAAGTGTTCAGCTAGACAAGTCCCTAGTGAACTGTGTCCAGTTGTGATGCCCACAATTCAAGGATGTTGATAGATTGGAGCTCGAAAGCTTGTCTCTTTAACAGAAGTTGGTCCAATAAAAGATATTACCTCACCCACCTTGTGTCTCTCATATCCTGACACCAACATGACTCCAGCAACACTGCAAACAATGTTTGCTCTCATATTGGGTCTCTGCAGTGAAAGGATACATTTGAAGCTTAAAACATTCTTTCAGCACTCACTCGTGTTGCTGGAACTGCCAGTACAGTTTTTGCCAGTTGATACAGCCCGAACATGCCATTTTTATGATGTCCCCAGTAGTTTAATATGTTTTCTTTCTTATTGAGACATGGCTCATCTGTAAATGAACCAAGAACTGTCCCAATCCCTTTTTTGCACTTTCCTTTGTCCAGATAGCTCTTCCTTTTTGGAGATTTCATGAGCTTTATGAAGTTCCAAATCATCATCAGATATTTCAATTTCAGATGTGTCTGACATTGATTCTATGACATCATTATTGCAATGTTGGCAGGAGACCAGGCTGCCTGGAAAAGGTGATCTAAAGTGGGCACTGTATGCTCCATGAGCTTGAGAAATGAACGAATGAAACATTTCCATTTTTGTCCACATTTTGGGTAAATTAAATGTTGCCTTGATTTTGTTGTCCTCTGACAGTAGCAGTTGATATCTAGGATCAAGGTACATAAATGAAAGAAAATATAATTTTCAAAACAGATTTGTTCTTGTTTTTTTCACTGAAGACAGTAAAAAGAGAAGAGACTTTTGATGTTTCTAGTTTGCATTTTAACCCAGTATCATAAAAATCACCCATGGTCAGTTCATATTGGATCATGGGTCAGACCAAAGGTCCATCTAGCCCAGATAGTGGCCAATGTCAGGTGCCCCAGAGGGAATGAACAGATCAGGAAATAATTAAGTGATCCATCCCGTCGCCCATTCCCAACTTCCTGCTCATCCTTGCTAATAGCCATTGATGAATTTATCTAGTTCTTTTTTGAATCCTGTTATAGTCTTGGCCTTCACAACATCCTCTGGCAAAGAGTTCCACAGGTTGACTGTGCATTGTGTGAAGAAATGCTTCCTTTTGATTGTTTTAAACCTGCTGCCTATTAATTTCATTTAGTGACCCCCTAGTTCTTGTGTTATGAGAAGGAGTAAATAACACTTCCTTATTTACTTTCTCTACACCAGTCATGATTTTATAGACCTCTATCATATCCCCCTTAGTCGTCTCTTTTCCAAGTTTAAAAGTCCTACTCTTTTTAAATCTCTTCTCATATGGAAGCTGTTCCATACCCTGAATCATTTTTGTTCAGAAAAGGGCAACCTTTTTCAATCCCAATATATGTTTTTTGAGATGGGTTGACCATATCTGTACTCAGTATTCAAGATGTGGGCGAACCATGGATTTATATAGAGGCAATATGATTTTTTCTGTCTTATTATCTATCCCTATCTAATGATTACCAATATTGTTTGGTTTCTCTATTTTTTAGATATCAAGCTTTACAAGTTATGGTAGAGATTGCACGTTCCTTCAATGAGTCTTCAATAGCAAGTTGCCAAGTGCATGGGCAGAACAGTGACCTCCCTGCAATGTTACATCTATTGCCTCCTAAGATTAGCTTCTTCAACCACATGAATCAAATCAGTTCAATCTTGGTCCATATCTTCTTGAGCAGCTTCCCTGAAGAGTAAATTCTGTGTTTCCCCTTTATTTTGAATTTGTTATGCTTGTTCTTCAGTTTCCTCGTCCTAGTTAACATCATTGTTTTCACCATGTTTGCTCCATGAACGTAATACTACATGTGTGCCTTGGAGTGATTCCATATATAGCAACAACTTTAAGAATAACTGATTTTACATATTCAGAGGTGTGTCTCTCCTCGATCGCTTTCTTATTTTATAAAGCAAATAAAATCACAGTTTTTTAAACTAGTGAGCTTAAAAAATATTTTAACCATAAGCCAAATTTTGTTTTACTGACAAAATTGTGGTTCAGATTTAGTTCTGGTTCAAGTAAAAATATTGGTTTGAAATGGTTCTGGGTTGACTTGCTGCCCTTCTAATCACAACCCAGTGGCAGGTAGAGGGTGGGGTGGGGTTAGTGCTGCACTACTGGCCAGTTCTCTTGCAAGCACCATGCTGCATGTTCTCTGCACTGCGGAGACACTCATACAAAATCTTTCCTGCTTCCTAAACTGCTATTAGTCTGGGGCCAAGATTTCTGCAGCGCTGGGCGTAGGTTTCTTACACCAAGTGGCAGGATGATCACAGATGGGAAAAACATAGTTCAACTTCCACAGCAGCTTGGGCCGACCCGTGTTGCTGCTTTGTGGTGCCTGCCCCAGCTGTTCCCCTCCGGCCAAGGTGCCTGAGCATGAAGTGCAGCTTGGTGGGTGTAGATGCTAATCAGGCTCCTGTTCAGGCACCACCAGGGCCCAAAGAGCTTCCAGCTGAGGGTTGCCAGTTTTGTGGGAGGTATTCCTGGAGATTTCATCACAAAATATAATTGTAATTCCTGGAGACTCCAGGCTAATCCTGGAGGCTTGGCAACCCTATTGCAGCTGATAAAATTTGGGCTATTTTTAACCACAGTCAAGTTAGCCTGCGGAACTCCCCCCACCCCAGCTGCCCTACGGGCCACGGCTGGAAGAGCGGCAGGTGTACGCAGACCTCGGGCCCCGCCCTGGTCCGAGCCCGCCCCTAGAGGGCCCTACGCTCGCTCGTGGGGCGGGCCGCCAGCTGCCCGAGCGCGTGGGCACTCCCATCTCGCGCAGGCGCATATCTCAGACGCCCCACTCCTGGTCACCAACCCACGGGGGCAGAGAACCTCAGGGGACCAGAAGCGGAAATGGCGTCATGCCCTCAGCGGGGCGGAGTGATGCTTGCGCAGCCCCATCCCTTCCGGCGGAGACACGCCCCGGGGCGGAGCCAAGAGAGTGGAGCGGAGCCGGTGGGAGGCCGGCTGGCAAGTGGCGAAGGGTGAGTGTGTGCGCGCGTGCGCGGAGGGGTACGGGACCCCCGCCCCTAATCTGTGGCGGGGGCCTGTCTGCGTGACTCTGTGTGTGTGGGTCAGAGCTAGCCCCACCCCCACCGGCTGTACT